TTGAGCCGGTGAGATTTGAACCGCTGAGCTGCAGATCAGTCAGCTAAAGTGGCCTGCAGTACTGCACCCTAACCACTGTGCCACCTCGGCTCTTTTTCTTTTTCTCTCTCTCTTCCTATTTCTTCCATTCTTTCTTTCTGTGTATCTTCTTTTCCTTCTCTCCCTTCCTTCCTTTTTCTTTCTTTTTTCTCTCTCCTTCCTTTCTTTCACTCTTCCTATTTTACATTCTTTCTCTTTGTCTCTTTTCCCTCTCACTTCTTCCTTTTTCTTTCTTTTTTGTCTCCTCCTTCCTTTCTTTCCCTCTTTCCTTCTTTCTCTTTATTTCTTTCCTTCTCTTTTTTTCTTTGTCTCTCTCTCTCTCTCTCAGGGTGTGCTTTGTCACCATTGCTGCTGCCAGGCGTACCCACTTGTCTGCTCGCCTCCCTGATTACCTGCTCACCTCCTTGCTTGTTGCTGCCTTGGCTGAGGATTCCTAGGCTCCTTGCACAGCCACCAGTGCCGACAAACAGCTGATGATCGGCTCCAGCATATGTGCGGTTGTTTGCAGCAGTATTTAATGAGCTCAGGGCAGCGGTCCTGAAGACTAGGTATAGCGGCGACATTTGCTGTGCTCAGGAAAGCGGCACAGACGTCTGCGTGTAGCAGCAGGCTATCATGGCTTGTGACCAGACTCAGACCAGACTCAGAACATGCATGGGTAGGGCCGGAGGCGGGTTTAAATGATGGAGGGAATCACTATTGCATGTCACTGAGTGTTGGTCAGAGTGTGACAGAGCGGGAAGATAAAGAATTACAAACCCCAAACTGCCTGGTTTATTGTCTTCAGTGAACCAGACAGGATGTCAAGGCTCAACTTTGCAAGCATGGCTGAGGGGACGCAGCCTGGTCTGGAAGCTGCAGGCTTGGCAGAGTCAGAGGCACTAGCGGAGCTTGCTACCCCGGTGGCCTTGCCCACGCCTTCAGTGGTTCCTGATGTGTGGCTTAAGGAGCGGCTGGCAGATAGGCCTCCTCGGTTAGTGTCACAGGAGGCCTCCGACTTGGTTCAGGGTAAGCAGCACGACCCGTGAGTAGTGGGGGAATGGTAGTCAGGTCCTAGGCAGTCCCCCACCCCAGGCAGATGTCCCGGGCCTGCTGTACATGCGCACCTGCTGTTCTGGAGCACCACCGCCGCAGCCCCCTCTCAGCCCCAGAGAAGCGGCTGCCTGCCCACCCATTGGCCAGGCTGGGCTGGACGCCAACCTCAGAAGGCAAGCGGTATGCGGGACTGCCGGGAAGTCCAAATGGAAGGCAGGCAGGCAAGCATGGCAGGGTTGCAGGGAAGGAAGTAGGCTGCTAGCTTCCTTCCCTGCAGCTGGCCAACCCTGACATGCTTGCCTGCCAGCCACGCAGCCTTCCACTTACCTGCCTTCACAAGCTGTCCACGGGGACACCAGGAAGGCCGCATGGAAGGCAGGCAAGCATGGCAGGGTTGCAGGGAAGGAAGTAGGCTGCTAGCTTCCTTCCCCACAGCTGGCCAGCCCCGACATGCTCGCCTGCCTTCCATGCGGCCTTCCGTTTGCCTGCCTTTGCAAGCTGGCCACGGGGACACTGGGAAGACTGCATGGAAGGCATAGCAGGACTGCGGGCCACAGGGAAGAGTAGGAGTGGTAGGCTGGGATGGTGGAAAGCAGAGATTGGGTGGGGTGAGCGAGCGGCAACTGGAGAACTGGTTTGGGGGCATGGCCAGCCATCAGTCTTTACCGGTTCAGTGACCCAGGCCCAATGTCTGCTACCAGTTCTCCTGAACCGGTCCGAACCGGTAGGATTTTACCCCTGGTTTGAGGATATCAAAGCAAGCTTTGGATTGCAAAATTCTATTCTGCTTTTTGGAATGAAAAGGACATTGGGGCATTGAATGGACCGTTGCTCTCTTTTGAAGTTGTGGTGTTAATATAGTCAAGTTCCTTATGAAGAAAACTAAATTTTGTGAAGTTTTGTTCAAAAAGCAATAGATATGCAAATTGTACTGATACCTTGTACTGTCAACCCTCCAGTGATTTAGACAAAGACCCAGCAAGAATATATCAGGCATTGCTTTGTGGGTGTCATCAATTTCAAAGGTTTCTTGGGATTCAACTGCACTGAAGCAAACTTTTATGGTACTTAAGAGCAGAATCCTGTGGGGATTTTGCCAAAGGCCACTTAAAACAGAGGCCAGTAAGCAAGAATATCAAACTTCTTAAGTTCCTAACAATTTGCAGTAATATTTTAGAAGAGAAGGATTAGATGGAATGCATGTGCCTGTAAATTAGAAAAAAGTCTCCCTTAATAGGGTTGGTGGTTCTTGTGGATTTTTTTTGGGGGGGGGGGGGGAGTAGGAAAAAGTATTAGCGAAGAGACACTGGACCATTTTACTACTTGTCCCAATTGTTCGTCTACACCTGCAAACAGGTAAAACTATCTTAAAACTTATTAACACTTTGAAGTCTGCGTTCTTTGCTTGACTTTCATCTACTTGCTGATAATAAAGATATTCAATAGTTTCAGAGCAGGTTGGCCAGGTTTATCTTGACTTCAGGGAATTCCAGCCAGGCCAGTATGTCCTCATTCTTGGACAGCCCCTCCTAGAATGCCCTGCCATTCTCTGAGTCATGTTGACTTCTCTTTGCAGATGATTATCTAACATTGCTCACAGATGGCCTCAATTTTGTTGAATGTTTCTGTAAAGCAGTAGAGAAATCTATCTACTTGATCATCTACACCAGTGTTTTTCAACCTTTTTTGTGCAAAGGCACACTTTTTTCATGAAAAAA